GTTAGGAAACAAAACTTCAAGACCACGGCCACACAGCCCGGAAGACCCACACCAGCCAAAGGAAGTGGCACCTTGTTCGAATTCAAGGGAATGAGGGAGGGAAAGGAGAAGAGGGTTCATGCCCTGGACCTCCAGAAAGCTGATTTTAATGAACTTAGGCGGAAGATGGGCAGCATAACATGTTTGGAATCCTAAAAGATAAACAAGAGGAAATGGGATAGGAAGTCCTGAAAAACAGGGTTATTGAAGGCACAGGCACAAACAACCTATATGAGAAGGAAAAATGGGGAAAGCTTTAAGAGGCCTCGAGGTGGATGGGGAGAAGCCTGGCCAGCTGAGAAACTAAAAGGAGGTGCACAAGAAATAGAAACCAGGGCTGAAGGCCAAGGAGGAATGTGAACTGGATGACCAGCTTGACACTCAAGTGGATACCATCTACTTCCTCGGCCCCCAATTTGCCAAATGGTTTTGTGATTCCTCTAAAAAAAAAATTCTGTCTCTTTTTTTAAACAAAGACGCATTGGTGGTGATGGTTGAAGAAACATTTGTTCAAGGAGAATTCTGCCTTCCGCGACCTCCCATAATAAATTCATAGAAGCCCTTGAGATCTCATGATCGGTGCCCCGTTCCCCAAAGATATCTCTGCTATTCCTGTGTCAGTTGCCACAACTGCAAAGGTGTGTCCTCCTAGGAATTTTTTTCAGTGACACGAGATGACTAGCCCTGTTTGCTCTAAGTGTGCTTAATCAGGGTTGGCTTTGCTTCAGGCCAACGTAACGTTGGCCAACTTGCTTCCTCTGGAGCAGGCCAGCAGAACAGCTGCCCTGGCAGAGCCACCGTGGTGGAAGCCTTGGGTTTTGCAAAGCCTTCTTGACGCACAACCTACTGATATCTAGCTGAACGAGATAAGACATTGACCAGTGTCCAGCCAGGGGACTTCAGAAGGAGTTAGTTCATCAGGGGGTTGCATGGTCTGCAGAGAGAAGTCAAGCTGTGCAAAAATCTTTGTGCATCTTTCCTCCTTCAAACAGCGGGGTGAGTGGAAAGACTTAGCAGTTTCATTTGCACCACTTACCCCTGGCTAACATAACAATGGTTTCTGGTTTCGTACGACACACTAATGTATAAGCTAACACACGGATTCAGATGACACGCTAGGTTAAATTGTTCTGAACAAATCTGTATGGGTTGACAGAGTCCCAGCTTGCTTGTTGCAGCCAATTCAACAAAGAGCTTGCTGGCGTGTAAAACCCAACGCATTTATTCTTGCATCTGAGCTTCCGTCCACCTGATTAGCTCTGTGTATGGGTTGGATTGATTTTGGTTTGTCTGTACAGGGAATCCCCGGGTTAAGAACGCCCAAGTTACAGACGACCCATAGTTATGAACGGAGCCTATTGTAGCAAAAATCAAGTTAAATACACAGTGGTTTGAATTGATTACACAATGCTACTTATACAGTATTATACAATAATACTGTTCCAGCTTATATACAAATTCGACTCAAAGACAGACTTTGGGAACGGACCTTGTTCTTAAATGTAACTCTAAACCAGATTCCTTTTTGGAGAGAAGGGGGCAGCTTGCTCGGTCTGTCTCAGCACCAGCTTACTCGGATGATCTTGTGGATCTGCAAATGCCAAAGTGGGAAATTGGACCCATTTCAGAAGCTGGGTGCAGCTGGGCTGGAGAATGTAAGGGAGAGGGCCTGAAGGAGGGAGGACCCGTCCCTGCCCAGGGCATCCTCTGTTTCTTCACATGGTGGGAAATGGGGAATGATCCGTTCCCCTCTCTTCCTGCATGAAAGAAGGCGATGGTGAAGCAACTGGGGAGAAGGATTGTTGCTATGTTGCCTGGTGGGCCCGTTTGCAAGGGGGCTCCTGGCAGTCTCCCAGGGCACATTGGGGGAGAAGGTTTTGATCCCTATTTCCAACCCATTTTTTGGGTTGAAAGTAGTTTTGCCGTATTGCTTTTCTGCATCTCTCACAGCCCTTCCTTTCCTTTTCAACAATTGCAGATGTTAACTTGCCTTGCAAAGCCTTAGGATGGCAGCGCAACGCCAAGCGCCAGGAGTGGAAATTCCAAGGGGTTGGCACCACCCAGCTATTCTACCACGACGACAAGTTCACAGGTGGGCAGTGAAAGGGGGCCGAGGGGTTCCGCTTTCCGAGCTCTGGGCGGGCCTGTGTTTGTTGAGATGTTGGTCTAGAACAGCCTCCTGCAACGTGGTGCTTCCTGATGGGCTGGAACGGCAGCTCCCAAAATCTATGCCGGCTGTGGATTATAGGAGCTAAACCCAATAAATCTGGGCGATGCTGGGTTGGGGAAGGAGTTGGTCTCGAGGTAGAGCAGTGTTTCTCAACCTTGGCAGCTTGAAGATGTGTGGACTTCAACTTCAGCCAGCATGGCTGGCTGGGGAATTCTGGGAGCTGACGTCCACACATCTTAAAGCATGCTGGCTGGGGAATTCTGGGAGTTGAAGTCCACACATCTTCCAACTGCCAAGTTTGAGAAACACGGAGCTAGAGTGTTCCCACCTACACCTGTAATTGCATATTCCACAAGCTGGATTCTTGCTGAACCTTTTCTGCGTTCTGTGCATCTTTTCTTTCTGCAGAAAACTATAAGAATCGGGCCATTTTCTACCCGAATGAGATTCACCTCAAGTCGGTGACCCGCCAGGACTCGGGCGTGTACACCTGCGAAGTCCTCGGAGACTCTTTTTCTGAGTCCCAAGTGCAGCTGATTGTCCAAGGTACCAATTCCATTTCCTACACCCAGGATAGGTTTGGCCCTGGCACCTTATGCTGAACGCCGAAACTCCCGGTGCCAAGTTGGGAGAACGGATAATTTCAGCTGTGCAAAAAAAAGGGGGGGGGCTTTATGAAAGGGCTGCTTGATGCAAACTCTTCGGCATGTAAATGGGACCATTTTTATTATTATTATTTTTATTTATGCAATCCTATAGCCACCCATCTCAGTCCAAGTGATTCCAGGTGGCGAATGTTGGAAAGACTTTTGCCACCGTTGCACTCTGGGGCAGCTAGCCAGGTTTTACAGGCAGGCAAGGTGATGCCCAGACTCCTTCCTTAGTAGCCACAGGCTCTTTGGGGCACCGACTTAAAAATCACAATAATAAAAGTAAAATTAAATTGGAACTAGGCCTGCTCGAAGCAAAGCACAGGCTTCTCCCATCGTATTTATTTGCAGAAATGTCTGGAACCCACACGAGGGTGGAGGAGAGCCTGCTGGGGCCAGTTTGTCCTCTGGCCAGGAGTGTTTTGTGGCTGGCCATCTCTCCCTCGGCTGCCATTTTGGGAAGATACAGCTTTCCCACGGCAGCCATTTTATGCGTGGGCCCCAGAATGGCAAACGGGCACCTGGCCCCCAGAGGCGCGTTAGGTAGTTCTGTAACCTCTGCCTGTCTTCTTCCCTCCACCTAATGCTGATGATACATCAGCTTGTTGCAGTCTTTGGGGTCATTCTTGACTCCTGGAGACTTCGCAGAGAGGTCCGTGCGGTGGTTCCAGGATGTTTTTCAATGTCCCAGTCTAGGGCTGAGAGTGGGGGGCTGGCCTAAAGTCACCCGGCTGGCTTTCATGCCTAGGGGAGGGCTAGAACGCGGCCTTCTTGCCCTGTGGCTTCAACCCCTCCCCTGGGCTGGCTCTTCTCTCCTGTCGCGGCGGCCTGTGGGT